TTGGCTGTATCTACAGAAAACCTGCTGGAAGACAAGATTCACACCGTCCAATAAAGAGTATGCATTTCGTTTTAATCCATCCAAAATAATAGGCGGTGAGATCCCAATGAATTCAGTGGTATCAGTTTGTTTTCCACAGTCATTTTGGATATTTGCCTATGCTATCAATTTAGATGAAACAGATCCGGAATTTTAGAGCACATGTTGTAATCTAAGCTCTACTTTAATTTATTAACAGTTTGAGCAATCAGAGGGCTAAGGACACCTTGGAAGCAATATTGCAATTTTTTGATTGCCTTGGTTAGTCATCTCAGGAGGATCATCTTTGCCCTGACCTTCTAACACAGCTGCATACCTATTTTTAATCATTCATTTAAACTGCATTACTTATACTTCCAAAACTGAAACTTTTTTGGCATGGTCTGTTTGGTTCAACTTCATGCATCTACACTTCAAAACAATTTGTATCGTAACAGTTGAAAAATTATAATTTCAACATTCTCATGGTTGATATCAGAAGCCTTCTGGGGGAGACGATGCAATTGTTTTGTGAAGCAGTGAGCTAAGGACGCTAAAAATAATTTAACGGAGTAATAGCAATATTATTTTTATTTAAATAAGGTTAATTTAAACTTTTGGAGCTGACATATTTGAATTTAACCCGGGGGAATCTTGTGCAGAAGATACAGTTGGTAGCAATTTGCCACTCATACCTCATTAAATCTTTGATGTTTATGAGATCTATATGAAACTTGATGCCCAACATATAATTTAACAAAAGTTTTACATAGTAATGTCTTCCGTAATCTAATCTATATCACTTATAAAATCTCTAAAACAGAATGTATACATTTAGAAAGATACAAGATGTCAATATTCTGTATATCAGAGTCCACCTAAGTATTATCATATCAGAATAACCAAAGCAATGCTCTTTCAGGAGTAATATATTAAGTTTGAGAGAAAAAGTAGACAGATGCCTCTGCAATCTACACATAATAAATTAGAAAAATGATTTGGAAAGCTGTCCTATCTTGGATTTACAAAAGAGACAAATTAAACTACTTTGTCCTGAAAACAGACAAAGAGAAAATGATAAGAAATAAACTTGTGGACATTATTCAATGGAATAACAAAAATATGTTATTAAAATGTAAACAGAAGAACTATAAAGTGAAATTTAACTGGGCAAAATACATTTGTTATGGTTTCTGGTAGCTCTTAATGGGATTTCTTGTTGAACAAAACTGAACGATAAAGCAAGATCTTTAAAGATCTATTTATGAGAGATTTTTTTTATTTATTTCTTGGAAAACGTAGTAAATTGGATTATAGATTGGATTTATTTGATTAAGGTTAAAATATATATGTTACTATTTCTGGTAGCTCTTAATAGACTTTTATTAATTAGTACTGAATGATGGAGTTTCTATAATTTGATTATTGATATGGAATGATATAGGAAAAGAAGATATTTTTAAATTGAAATATTAGAGAAGCAGTTAATTACTGAAATGGTTTATACTTGTGTGGACAGAGAGAAAATCATCTTTTATATATCTTTTTCTACCTTATTGCATTTTCCTTTTTGGTTTTTATGTTTCTTATTTGTATTAATTGTTTAGCTGTCTACTGATAAACTTTAATAAATTATATTAAAAAGCAGGTGCCTCTTGACTTATGGATCTGGAGAAGGATACAAAAAATACTGTGGCCTGCAAAAAAAAAAAAACCAATTAACTAAGCCCAGACCAAATAAAGATGAATTACTCAGGGGTGGGATTCAAAATTTTTAACAACTAGTTCTGTGGACATGGCTTAGGTGATGGGCACGGCTTGGTGGTCATGTGACTGGGTGGACGTGGCTTGGTGGTCATGTTATTGGCTGGGCGTGACCAACTCAACATCACTCACATCGAGGCACGCATCTCCTCGCCTGGCCTCTCATGACTGTGGGGATGCTGCAACAGTCGTAAGTGTGAAAAATGGTCATAAGTCACTTTTTTCAGTGCCATTGTAACTTTGAATGGAGACACAAGCAAAGGAGGGGAAAAAAATTCCAGAGACATTCCTGAGACAGGAAGTCTAGTCCTGTCAAGAATGTAAAAAGGGTTAATGGAGAGGTAGTTTCTGTAAGCAACACCAGAATGTTTCCTTCCTGCCTTCCTTACAGGATTAGGCCAGTAATTTCTTCTAACAACTGGTTCTCCAAACTGCTTAGAATGTTAACAACCGGTTCTAGCGAATAGGTGCGAACCTGTAGAATCCCACCCCTGGAATTACTGTCCTAAAATGATGATCACTAAGCAGAAACTCATATATTTTGAATATATGATGCAAGCAGATAATGGACTAGAAAAGACCACTATGTTTGGCAAGGTTGAGGAAGGAGGAGATAACAGATAAGGTGGATGGACAGTATTAAAGAGATTATAAGACTCTTTAGTGTGGCAATGGAATATCACTAGAGCAAATTTAGGCTGTAAGAATTTGACATGCAGTATCAGGAATAAAACCCAGTGGTTTGAGAACTTGACAAAATGCAAAATATGCATGAAAAGAATGCTTTTTCTGGTGTTTATTTCTGAAACAATGAAAAAACGATTGTTCCATTGTCTAAAAATCTGCAAGTGACAGATATTCAGCACCAAATATAATATACACCATACTATTAAATTGATAGTTACATTTTTAAAATTAGCCTTCTGACTTCTTCCTGTACTGAAAGGCTGTACATATTTTTCATTTCTATGCTACACATTGTAAGCTCACAATTCTTCTATTTTCCCACCTGAAATTACTATTACTACTAGACTCATACTCAATCCACCAATATATCAACACTTATTCATTGCTGATATACCTCAAAGGGATGAGTCAACTAAATTTTGATTACAGAGAAATGAAACATGGTCTGAAGGAATGAATCTGTATTAGGCAATCTTGGATATCTATACCCAAATGAGTAATAGGAGCCTTATTTCATGAAATGTCTATCCTGAGTCTAACAGCTGGTGTTGGAAAAACATTTTAGTCATATGTGTTCAATAGATTTGTTTTCTTAAAATATAAAATATTTTTGAGCTGAGCAGCCTACAGACTTATTAGAAATAAGTATGATATAAAGGAAGACAAGTTTCCCCAATTAATTATTTGTAATCTCACATTCCTTGAGAATGTAAAAGGAAAAGCTTTTAGAAGTACATAGTAATTGTAAGGGAGGCAGGATATGCTAGTCCTGAAATAGATGTTTGACAGGGAGAACCCTTCTTTCCATGCAGGCTCTCCCCATAAATGAAGACTCTGGAAAATCAGGATCCTCTGTGGTTGAAGAGGAATGTGACAAAGGTGAGGCTAACCTACTGACTGTACAAGGTTAAATAGTCCAAAGCTTGTTTACCTGGAAACAAAAGCCACAAAATTGAATGATTCCTAATACCTGAAGGTTCCTAGGTCTGCTGTGTTCTCAGCCCTGGACTGAGACCTCTATCAACTTGTTTGCAAAAAGAACAAAAACCAACTCAATATCTCGAAGATTTCTTCTCTACTTATCCCCATCCATAGTAAATAGGGCTAAACGCATACAATCTAGTTGTCAAATAAGGAAAACTGTGCTGTCAATACAAATTTAGGTGTGTTTACAGCTTTTTTTCTATCTAATCCTTGTTTTTTTGAGAGGAGTACAAGATTTTTATACATTTGGAGTTTTCCTCTTTCTGTGTAACTGCAATTTTATGTGCTTTATATCCAGGTACCCAGTTTTACAAATGTAATTCAATTATAATATATACTTCAGATACCTGCTTTTTTTTTTTTTTACAGAAAAGGCCAAAATCATAACCAAACTTCATTGTTTAAGTGGTTTCAATCATTACTTGATCAAAAGCAGTATTATTCCTAAATTAAGGAATTAAATTTAACTTGCTGATGGGGTCTAGGGAACGAAAGTGTAAAAGATTGTATACTTGCTCTTCTGAATAGTACTCCCAAACTGCCTGAAAAATCCAGTTCCATTGTATTAGCCCTCCATAAGCCAGGGAGCAATTATAGTTTTCAAATAACCCATGTTCCTCTCAAGGGTATCTATTGTTTGCTTCATAGCAGTGGAAGCTCATGAGTATTAAGTTTATTACTAAATAATTATCAACCAGAAGAAATTGCTAACAAGCATTTTAAATTATGCTTTTAATGAGGACGTGAATATACATTTGCCAATTTGGGTAGCTTGTCTTTCACCACCTTCCAAACGTCATATATGTGTCATGAAGGCTTTGAACAAATCACTTTGAATTTTCGCCTCTAAATGGGCATTATTGCTGCCTACCTCAACTGGCTGCTTGTAAGATGAACTAGAACAGGCAGAAACTGACAAGCATTTAGCACATAATCTGTACTATAATAGTGACTCCTAAGGAGAGACGGATATGAGCCAGCATACAGGTCAAATCTCTAACCTAGTTTCACCTTTGATCTCTTTTTGTACTGACTCACTCTGTGACAACAGGGCGGCTCACTTAATCTCTAGCTTCCTTCCTATAACAGGATGCTCATTTGCTTAGGGAAGGTTATAAACAAAGCGAATATTAATAGGGCCACATCGGTATCCCGCTTATATACGCGCACCCTCACACGCATGCATACTTGCACAGCTCAAAATAAAGTAATGGTAGTGGGGAGAGTTATGGAATCAACGTGGGAAAATTCGGATAATGTGAAATACAAGGAACGCGGCCGATGGTGGGCGGCGAAGGGGCAACCAGATCTAAGAAAACAAGAGACACAAGTAAAGGCACAGGCCAAGAGGAAGCCTTGAGAGACGAGGAATGCGTACAAGTCAGGGGAGCCTGGGGAGGGGGGGAGGACAGGATAATAGAGTAGAAAGGCAGATGAGAGGGATCGAGATCATGGGGATCAAGGGAAAGGGTGAAAATCCAGAAGCCCCCACCCCCACCCCAGCCCGATGCCAACCGCTTCCTGCCAAGCCGAGACGAGCCACTCACCCTGCGTGCAGAGAGTCTGAGATTCGCACCCTTCATCCACAGCTACCGACACAGCAGCCTGGAGGCCTCCCCTCTCCTCTGTGCTGCCTCTCCTCCGCTCCGCCCCTCCACGGCTCCTTCCTTCCTTCCGGGCCGTGTGGGCGAACCGGTCACCCGGCTCACGCTTGCGACCTGGCACGCCCGCCAGATCGGGAATCTTTCCCCTCCCCTTCATGGTGGATTCCCGTAGGTCAGCCTCCGGGGCTTGCCCTTCACGGCTGAAATGGAAAGGACTGGACGCACAAGTTAGTCTCGCAACCCAACCTGTCAGCAGAGTTTCAGGAAGCCCCATCTGGAAATTCCGTCTATTTAAGGGGCGCTCCTTGCCATGGCCCTTCGAAAGCATTAGATCACTAGATCTTAGGAACGAAATTGGGAGAGTTCTGCAGGTAATCTAGTAAAGCAGAGAAGATACGTCCAGACACCGCTGCCAATGAACTGTCTGTCTGTCTGTCTGTCTGTATGTCTATCATCTACCTACCTACCTACCTACCTACCTTATTCTGCCTTTACTGTTCTGTAAGCAACAAAACAAATGGGGAAGAGGTATATCACAATTGCTTAATAAATGTTTCATATAGAAATGCCTAAATATCTATACGGGGAAGAGTAAACCTCTTGCAGCAAAAATAGCTATGTATTGTGGCACCTTAAAAGTGTACTATTATACCAGACATTGCAGTTCCATCTCCCATTTCTTTCCCCATAACAAGCACTCTTAGAGGTAGATTGCACTATAAGACTTATAGAAGTCTTCTATAGAAGACGACTTGAAATCTTCCAATACAATCTTCTGCCCAGGGTTGGAACCTGACCATTCCAGATAAATCTCTCTCCAAGCTTTATTTGAAAACCTGCAATCATGGAGCCCCTACAACTCAAGGAAGTTGGCTATCCCGCCTCTTAATACCTCTCACAGTCAGGAAATTCTTCCTTATTTCAAGTTTGCATCTCCCTCTGCAAAGCTTGTATCTTGCCATGCTCACAGAAGCATCTTATATGGAATCTTATGTCCCAATTTCATTGTCTTCTGAATAAAAAGTCTAACATGTAGAACATGAGTTCTCAGTAAAACAACTAAGATAATTGAAGTCAGCTCTGTCACCATTATAGATGTGCTTAGCAGGCATGCTATTCAACCAGTTTTGAGGAAATTGAGCTAATATTAGGTCTAACACTTAATCCCAAGCAGAAGTTTAAAAATCTAGAAGGAAATGTATTACACTGTAAGTAAATTTACCAAATGCTTTTAAATAACAATGTTGATGGGTTTAGAAAAAAATTGTGGAGCAAGAACAATTAAATCTGGTGTGTATATCAGAATTTCTATTGCAATATTAAACATCCCTATGGAAGTTGTTTAGACACAAAATAAAGGACACTGACCAATTTACAAATGTGAGATTACTGTACAGGCAGTCCTCGACTTACAACCACAATTGAGCCCAAAATTTCTGTTGCTAAGTAAGATTTCTGTTAAGTGAGTTTTGCCCCACCTTACAACCTTTCTTGCCATAGTTGTTAAGTGAATCACTGTAATTGTTAAATTGGCAACAGGATTGTTAAGGGAATCTGGCTTCCCCATTGACTTTGCTTGTCAAAAGGTCACAAAAGCTGACCACACATGATCCCTTCATAAATATGAGTCAGTTGCCAAGCGTCCAAATTTTGAACATGTGATCGTGGAGATGCTGCAACAATCTTAAGTGTGAAAAACAGTTATAAGTCACTTTTTTCAGTGCCATTGTAACTTCAAACGGTTACTGAACAAAGTCGAGAACTACCTGTATAAAGTATTAAAGTCTGATTTATGTAACATTGGAAATCCCAAAATGTAATTTATTTATGCAGTTCTAAATCTTGTACTGGTTTTCCGACCATGAAAAAAACAATAAATGCATATTAAGATGATATGATTTGCTAATTGGAATTTTCAATTTCTCTTTTCTTAGCATCAGCATGTCACAGAAAGCTAGCTTGCACCTTATAAAATATATAATTTCAGATTATGGAAATTACAGAATTAAAGGATTGAAAATGGGCCTTCCAGATCATTTAATTCAACTCCTTATTATGATTAACACGATTAATTTCATAATATATTTGGTAGAGTTGTAATACTGTTATTCCAAATAAATTTCAATTGGTCCTCACTCATGATTTTTTTCAGCTGGGAATTCTATATATGTTTATATTCAGTGGTACCTATTCCTAAGTAAATATTTATATGAATTGCAGTCTTAGTTTGCTTTAAAAGCACCTTAGCAGTTTTTAAAAATCTAACACTGACTAGTCCTCAAAGCCTATTACATAATAACTATTACAAAGCCTATTACATAATAAGAGCAGATGTATCTTGTTTAACAACCTTTACACTCACTTTAATTTTAGGATTAAAACTAATATTGCTCAGGTAAGGATGTATCTGAATCAACATATTGAAAAATATAAAAACATTTAACAAATTATCCACTAATAGCAAAGGAAAATATTTGTGTATTTGCAAAGTATTTGCAAAACAAACAAACAAATAAATAAGGTTTTGCAAAGCTGCAAAAGTAGCCTTCATTGGAACATCAGGAAACAGTTACTAGTGAAAACAAGTGTACTCTTACTACATAAAAGGCTGTATAGTAGTTACAATGTCTACATTTTATGGAGTATCAGCAGCATTAAAATCAGATAAAGTCTGTCCAGGATCTGTAACTAGTTCTGAAATTCTTGCATTTATCTGAAAAACAGATAATTTTCCCCCAAACCATTTAATTTTTAGATGGAAAAGTCTTTGATTAACTGAGGATACATTTAAAAATGTGTTAAACACCCAAAGGAGAAGTTTAGACCCACATTATTTATTAATTAGCTAGTTATTTCTTATATAGCAACTCCAAATCATGGAGCAAAAGAAAGCTGATAAATTTTCAGAAGTTGTAGAAATTATTTGCAACTTGCTCTAGTTTTTTTACCTTGTAATTCTTCTTTCAAAATAATTTCTCTAAACAGTTCTCTAATTAGCTATGAAAAGAAACACAAGGACAAAGGTTCAAAGTTTGTTTGGTGTTTTAAACATTTGTTGCACAAATACTCCCTTTCATTTATGAAAATGTTGGTATATCTACTTAGCATCTTCTTTCATTTGTAAGATAATTCTTTTCCTATTATTTATTTCCATGGTAAATTTGTTCAAAAGGGAAATATACCTCTTCAGTCACTTTAATTAGTATGCTGAAATGTTGACCTGTGACTAACGCATTTGCATTCAAACTTTGCTCCATTTGGTCTTTTTTAGAATGGTGTGGTTTGCATGCGCCCCCTCTCCCTCCCTTCCTCTTTCTCTCTCTCTCCCTCTCTCTGTGGAGAGAGAGAGAAAGAATTAAGAGATTATGGATTAATACAATATATATTCCAATGCCTTGATTCTAATTAACTTTTAAGCACCAGACTCATCAAGATCTAGAGTTCTTGGATGCATTTCTTACTTTTGGGGTGCCATAGTTGTTTATGTTGTATATATATATATAACATAGGTACATATTCAAAAGTGTCTGTTAAAATTAGTAGAACTTACTGTCTTGTATGATTGAAATTGTAAGATAAAATTCTGAGCTTGAATTCTGCTGGCTGGGAGACTAAACAATCATCCTATAACTAAAGACACCTCTAGTGGAATTGAATTTTCATTGAAAATTAAAGTCTTTCCCATTGGAATCAAAAGAATAGAAAAGGTCAACAAACAAACAAACACACACACACACACACACACACAATATTGTGGCCACATTCATGTCACCACAACAAAGCATAGGCTATGATGTAACACAGCATGCTTTTTTTGCCTTTGAGTCAGTATTTGACTAATTAGTTCCTGTAGGTTGATTGTTGTTTTTTTGCAAGGTTTATTTTTTGGGAAGTGGTTTACCATTGCCTCCTTCCTAGGGCAGAATGACTGGCCTGAAGACACCTAGCTGGCGTTGTTCCTAAGGTGAGACTAGATCTCACTGCTTCCTCCTTTCTAGCCTGATGCCTTGATCACTATACCAAGCTGACTCATTATTCCACACCATACAGTAATACAATAAAGACCATAACTAGGCTGATAGGCAGTTACATACCTCTCACCTTGTATTATGCATCTTCCAAAGGGATAGAATCTATTCAACACTTTATGTGTGAATCAACAGAAGATCCATCAATAGTGTTAAGTAGCAACAGTGACAGATGCTCTCTGTCAGGTTGTTAAAATCTGCCAACTGCAGATGGGCATCTCTATACCTATTGCTACAAGCTTTGTGCTTTTAGGGAGTGCTAGATAATATGAAATTCTTTCTTCCACCACAATTAGTCCAGGTTTTAGAAGTGAAGATGTGAGGGCAAGTGAAAGGACTACTTGATGAGCCCAACAACGATTCTCCCTTTCTATTCATTCAATTTATCTGGCCTATAAAAGGAGGTTGTAGAATGGGTATTTTTGCCAGTAGGCAAAGCAGGGAGGCAGAGAACTGGGAGAGAGAAGATGGTGAGGCTAAGGATTTGGTTTGGCAGTAAGTCTGGCTTGACAAGCAACATTGTCCGAATTGTCACATTAGTTACTACAGATTGTTTCAGAAAGATTGGTTACTATGATAGAATCAATAAGGAACATTTCTGTACTATTTGAAGTATAGACTTGATTTTCTACCCATTTTTTCAATTTCCATGATGATTTGCTTGCTAAGCAAGCCTGGATGGCTTTTAGATGACTTAAAAAATAACAGTTTAAAAGTTAATAAGACACAGTGCTGGGGGGAAATAATTCCGATCGCACACAACTAAAAGAGGCTCATGTAACACTATGGCCAGGTTTTAAAGTTGGCAGGTTGGGATCATCTGAATTTGAGGGGGATATTGTTCCACAGGGAAGGTGGAGCAATGTCCCCTTCAAATTCGGATGATCCCAACCTGGCAGCCTTTAAGACAGCCATAAAAACCTGGCCATAACAGGGTAAGTGTCGTGAAAGAGGAAGCATGTTTTGCCTCCTAGACCAGTGGTGGCTAACCTTTTTGGGCTCCTGTGCCAAAAAATTGTTCGTGCTCGCATGCTTGTGTGCCAGCACCCAGAAGGCAATGTGTGCAGGCCTCCCCACACACCCTGTACATGCACACATGACCCGACACGCCCCCCTGCACATGCGCACACGAGCCCCCTGCATGCTGCACATCTCTGCGCATGTGTGCAAGATCCTCCTGTGTATACTGCACACCTCTGTGCATGTGCGAGAGATGCCCCACGTGTCTCTGTGCATGCACATGCATCTCCCGTGCAACCCCCCACTCCCCACACATGCGCACCAGATACCCAACAATCAGCTGTTGGCCGGTGCATGTGCATGTGCAGTGGGACTCTTCCAGGCAACCTCTCGCGTGCTGGCAGAAGTGGCTCTGCATGCTACTTCTGGCACGTGTGCCATAGGTTCGCCATCATGGTCCTAGATCCATGAAATGGTATTGTAGTGAAAATCTTGTCTCTATCAAGAATGGCTTCTTCTCCCAGAACCCAAAAAGCAAATGGGGTTATACTGACACTTTTTTTCCTGCTGAAATTAAAATTTTGGTTTCTTTCTTCTCAGTGCTCTGTCAAAAACAACAGCCATTAGTATCTTGAATGGGAATACAGAGAATATGTGACACTATCAATGAAACTTTTCATGTACTGGAATCTTATGGTGTTTCTAGGGATGGTGAATCATGAGTTACCATATTTTTTTTAGTTGTCTGTTCCCGACCCTGTTTTCTGGATAAGCAAATTTAGATATAATGGACATTGTGCTGTAGTAATAGTAGTAGTGACATATCTCACTCTTCTTGCCAACATAGAAATCTCATAGATATTGTCATTTGTTTGGCCCAAGATATTCCATCTGTGTATTCACTTATCAACACATTTCTATTTCACTGCAGTCCAGAGACTTGTTTGTCATTTCAAAAGACACAATCTGATTTATTTAGAATACTTATTTGACATACTATTCCTTGTAAACTTTAACCAACTGACTTCAATAAATTTAAGATAATCTAACTCTGAATTGTGGCCAGAATGTGAAGATAATTATAAGGGTTTCCCCCCCCCCCCCTGCTAAAGCATCCTATTATTTGGGTGCAATTTAATGCAACAACAGAACTCTGGAACACAGTATATATACAAAATCATCTAAAAGATGAATTTTTGCAAAGTACACAAAGCTGAAAAGACTGCTTTGATTTTTTCCCTTGGTAATCTTCCCTATTAATTTTTTTCTCAGTTGAACTGTTAAGCTGTCATTAAAAAAAATCTTGTTTGGATTTAAAATATCAAACTTTTGCGGAATTTTAAAAACACCCTTCTTTTATCTTTTAAAATACATGTTATAGAAGTTGTCACCTAGCTAAACCTGCCTAAAATGTAGTGGGTTCCGTTGGAGCGAGAGAAGGGAAGAAAGTTGAAAGCAATTTTCTATTGTGAAACAAGCCCTCCCCTTCTGTATGCATAAGAGGTGGAACTTGTATTGCAACATAGTGTAAGATTCTGCGGTGTCACTGCTGATGTCAAAAAACTAAGCCACATCAGCTCTGCTTAGGTGGCAGAAGTCTAAAAAATATCACACCTGCAGCATAAGCTACACTGGAAAGCTGAAAAACCACGCCAGATGATGCAGTGTTGGTAACCTCTTCTGTCGTGTTGCCAAAAAAAAAGAAAAATCTATACAGACATGCTTAGGAAGCTATCAGGAGCCAGTGTGATTTTACCTTAGAAAATTGATGAAAGCTTTTCCTTTTATAAATTTGCAGCTGATAAACTGTCCAAGTTTGCTTACATGTTGCGTACCTTATGCATTTGACCCGACTTTACCCCATACTAAATCTCAAACTCTGGGTGAGCTGATTTCCCAGGATTGAAGAAAATTCACTCTCCGCATCCTAGAAGACTTATTGATTTACCCATTAATGGTTCCGAGCAGCTATGGGTCGGTTTTTCCTTTAAAAATTGGACTCTGAGAAGAGTGAGCCTAGATGTCGCTAAATCCCGCTTGTCAATTCAACCCTTTTAAAGCAATACCTGACCGCGGTGACGTCCCCAGAGCGCTACCCCTTTAAATCCCTACCGCGCCTCCAAATGCCACCGTTTTTTCAGCCCTAAGCCCCGCCTACGGGCTCCTCCGTTCCGGAAGTGCCACGTGTACCGAGTGCGCCTGCGTAGCCTCGTTTACTTTCTTCCGGTGTGAAGAGCAGGGCCTCCCCTCCTGGGCTTGGCGCCGGAGCAAGACTTAGAGACGCCCGCGAAGCAATCCTCTTGCTTGCCGCTATGGCCCAGCCAGGAAGGCCCGCGTATAATAGCCTTACTAGAGCCGGCCAGCCACCGCAGCAGCCGTACAGCAATGGTGAGTGAAGCCGGCCGCACCCCAGGTCATCTTAGGCTGCTCTAAAGGGGGCTTATCTTGGGTGTATCTGGCTCCCTCTCGGCAGGACAGTCATATATCCCGCTGCGGAGGGGCAGGGCGGCCCGGAGCGCGGAGGATCCGTGTACGTGGCGTCGGTGGTGGTATGCGGACCGACCCTTCGGTTGTCGCCCCTCGCGGAGCTGAATGGTCCTTCGAGCTTTTTGCTAGGCGGGCTCCCCTCCTTTCCAATCCCCAGGCCTTGGCTTCCCTTTCCCGTGCTTGGAAGGCGTTGCGTGTAACAGGGAGGTCCTGGGAGAAAGGTTGTAGCGGTGGCATCCGCACTCGGAGCAGCAGCAGCTACGGAGCATTTTCTTACCGTTCTTGGGGGCGAGACGGCGATGGACGCTCCCTGTATCACTCCCTGGTGATACTCGTAACGATGAAACGCCTGCCGCTTGAGAGTATTTCCCAGAATTTAACACGAAGACAGGGGAAGCGGCTCCCAGAGGGAGAAATAGGTTAATTTGGGTAGCAGAATACATACATACATACATACATACATACATACATACATACATATATACATACATATATATGGCACTACCCGATGAGCTAACAAATTGTTGTGGCCCAGGTTTTGTGTCTTGCAACCTATCGACGCTGTGTGAGGGAGGGTTTGTCTTTAGAAAACGGGGTGGTTTGCAATGTCCCCAAATGTGTGTATTCTGAACAATTAATTGATCAATTACCCTTTTGAGAAGGCTTCCCAGTTGAGCATTCTTTGGCAAAAAAACACCCTACACTGTGTGTGTGTGTATCTATATCTATATGTTGTTGTGAAGAGAATAATAGCATACAGAATGGATGCTGTTTGCTTTCTGGGATCTGTGGGTGTAAAGAATGCTGTGCATAATTCAAAACCTCCTGGTTTTAAGGAATTCATTATGCTGGTATAATCAGAAAATCTCTCAGCTGACTAGTTGCTCAATTTCTTCTCCTCTCTAGACCTCAAAGCTGTCAATTGAGGCTAGTTGAGGAACTGTGTAAACTGTGCCTCATTTGTGCACGGACCTGTGTGTGCTTCTGGTAAAAATAAGAGCAATAAGCCAATCTATAGCTGTGTTTCACTGTATAGTTTCATAGTTGGATGTTGACAGTAATTAGTATTCTATTTTTTTAAGATTATAAGTTTAGGAAGAAAATCAAGTTGTATTAGTACTTACAGGAGTTGTACAAATTTTGTTTCTTAAAAGATTGAAACTGTGGTTCTATAAGTTATGGTTCTGTAATACAGAACTTTGTCCTTTCCCCTTTACTACACCAATTTGGAGTTAATGATCATAGCTTTCATTATGTGAGAGTTTTCTATTACACGTGAAGTGTAGAATTCTAAATATTGGCATCCTGAATTATAAAGTGAGAGTGACACAAAGTTAGCTGGGAATGACATGATTATTAATACAACAGGATTGTGTGCTGGAGCTGGTGGGCAACAAATGGAAATGTAGAAAGAATACATAAGCCAATTGTATTGTTTAGTGTATTGCAAACTGATTTAGGAAGAGTAGCATTTGGCCTGTAGATTCTTGATATCCTGCAAATCAAGATGGACATATAGGCATGGTATGTGATTTTTAATCAATATTTTTGATCTTAATACAAATCATAGTATAGGTTATCCACAATTAACAATTCTAGCTGATGTTTAGATGTACTTATCTGTTATCAAAACCATTAGTTTGGCTAAAGGAAGCAGTGAATCCCATTTTAACTATGCATTATATAAAATATACTTTGTTTTATCAGTCCTGAATTCTCAACATGTTTAGTTTCAATAAGTAATTCTGAGTCCTGATGTTGAAAGAAAAATCTTGCTTCCATCCGTATTTTCTACATCATGCATAATTTTATGCTCTTATCATGTTATCTCTCTCTACTTCAAATGAAAAAGCCCCAGATGCTACAGGTAATCCTCGACTTACAATCACAATTGAGCCCAAAATCTTTCTTGCTAAGCAAGACAGTTAAATGAGTCATTTCCCCCCCTCCCCCATTTTACAACTTTTCTTTCTTGTTGAATGAATCATTGCAGGTAAGTTAGTAACACAGTTAAGTGAATCTGGCTTCCCCATTGATTTTACTTGTCAAAAGGTGATCACATGACCCTGAGACAGTGCAATCATCATAAACAGGTGTCTCAATGTGTGACCACAGAGATGCTGCAATGGTTGTAAGTATGAAAAATGTAAGTCACTTTTTTCAGTGCTATTGTAACTTCAAGGTGACAAAACAAATGGTTGTAAGTCAAAGATAACCTGTTTAGTGTATTATCTTTCTTTAGTTGAAACAATTTTAAACTTGTATAGTTCTTATATTTTAGTTTGTCTATGTGGATTTATGATGATTTAAAACATTGGAAGACATCTTGAAATTTGTGCTCTAAAGTGTTTTAGGTGTTGTCAATTTTTTTTCAGAAGTAATTTAATTTATATTTTAATTAATTAAATATATGTATTTTTAGCTTATAAAATATCCCAAGACTCATTTGACTCTCTTGCACAGAATTTTGAATGTTATCCAAAATCTTGTGCAGCTTCTGCGGCAATAAAGGCAACAATTCTGACTAAACTGCAGTTTTAAATAGAACAATATACATACAGAAGGTACTGGGTGATAAGAATGCTCTCTTATTAAAAATGTATAATTCTGAATTAAGGAATTATAGATTCCACTTGTTTTTGCAATCAGGGAAAGCCTAAACAGGAAACATGTTGTTTTATGCTAGACAAAATAGTAAACTATCATTCTCCACCAATGTTTCAAGCCTGTTATTATTCCATTGCCTTTCTGCTTTTCCAGCCCAATAGTGGCAGTATTCATTGTCTGATTTCTGTAACTCCATAAAACTGAAAATAAGACCTGATATCCTATGTAAAAAGAAATGGAATTAGGCATTGTATGTAGCAGAAATTCCAAACTCTGATTTTTTGAGCATCAGAGAAAAATTTAAGTCATAATTTTATTTGCATTGATGCTGAATATTGCTTTGGAAAACTAAAGTGTCACAAAGAAACATAATTGGAATACCAATTTGTTTTTGAAGTAATAGGAAAATTTATGTTCACGCTGCCTTGCAATTATTAGCTATTTTCTATGTAGAGAAATGGGTTGTGATCCTGAAAATTCTATGGTAATTATTGTATGGAATGATGGGAACATTTAAGCTTTTACACTTCCACCAAAGGAGATGTCCTCTAGACTTGTTATATAATTTGATGCTGTATTTAGTTACACGGGCATAGCACATTTTAGAATCTGATGTTTGAATTGTCACAGTGTGACCAGTATCCCTCCCTCCACAAAAGGCATTTGTCACTGTGATTTGCCTCAGTTCTGAAAAATTAGAAATTTTGCTACGGTGCCCCCCTACTTTGTGATTTCAAGGAAATTTCAGTTAGATATGTCTCTTTGTGTTTTAAATCTATTTCTAGTAGTTATTATTTTTATAGGTCCTATTAAATTTAAACCTGTCCATACTGTATGTATTCTATAGGTTCTTATTTTGGCTGATTTAATTCTAATGGCTTTTGGTCAGATGAGTTTGATTACCTTGTGATATAAATCCATAGTCAGAAACATTGTATTTAATTACTTTAAATCAGCTTATTCACTAGTAAATAGTAGCACTTAATAAAATTACAGGTGGTCCTCAACCTAGGACCACAGTTGACCCAAAAATTATGTTGCTAAGTGAGACATTTGTTAAGTGAGTTTTGCCCCATTTTATGGGTTTTCTTTCCACATTGTTAAGTGAATCACTGGAGTTGTTAAGTTAGTAACACAGCTGTTAAGTGAATTGACTTCCCCGTTGATTTTGCTTGTCAGAAGATAACAAAAGGGGATCTAATGACCCTGGGACACTTCAAGCATCATAACTATGAGTCAGTTGCCAAACATCCAAATTTTGATCATGGTAGGATTAATTGTCCGTTGATGTTATTAACTTTTACCAAATATACCCTTGGATAAGGAATTTAGGTCTCAAATCCTTGAAACTACAATAGTGTGCTCTGTTCTCTTTTTGCTTCATTTTATATTATTTGCATAGATTCTTTATTGTACAAATTGACCTCATATTCGCTATTCATTAACCTTAGTCATTGCACTTTTATTGAGAAGTCTAGTTAACAAGCCTGTTAACATGTCTTGCTTCTACTGTATATTAGAAAGAATAGTATATTATAAGAAGTTATGTTCTTCATTTTGTGTTTGTGTACATCTTTAAGAAAAAGTGTACAATTTCATTTTAAACTTGACTTTTTAATTTAAATTTCATCCATCATTTTGATCCATCCTTATTCATCATTTCACTTTGGCTACCATGTTTGCTATGCAGTGACAGTGGCAGTTGTTACTGATATTGGAGCTAGGTGTATAGTGAGCGGCTCTTGCATGGAGAATACGAGAGCAGGACAAGTTGCAGTGGGAAAGCGCTGAATGTCTAGGTGTAGGAGACGGGATCCCTCTGTTCTACTAGAGCTGGACCCAGCAGTCAGCTTACAGATCCCACCACTGCCTCCCTCTGCAAGGTTTTTTCCTGAGGCATTTTGAGAGAATGAGAGCACAAGTCCAACACTGCTAGAGCCTGCTCGGCCCACTGTTTGCTGCATCCCCTCCCAACAATGGGGCGAGAAGCATCTGCAACCACAGGGATTGACCAAGACATAGCTGCATCCCTAACCTTAGACTGATGTACAGTAAACTGTAGGCAGGGACAGGACCTGCTTCCACTGCCACTACTACTGTTTGATGTGGTTAACAATGCCTCAGTGTGAGGCTAAATGTGCAGCTGCCTGTGCACGTGGCCTACTTGAAACTGCCACACAAGGTGTTGGCCTTACTTGTTGTTCCTGGATGTGAATGGGGAGTCATCAGTTTGAGACTCTTGTTTCAAGCTGCAGAAAATTTGAAGAAATAATATGTGCTTTTTCATATAGCAGAAGAGAAATAAACTTTAAAGGAGCAAAACATAAGCTGAACTCCATGTACAAGAACTGCCGGTATGAAGAATGATGTTCCTTCCCTCAGTCTTGTTATTAATTTTATCTGGTTATCATCCAGAGCTTGCTATATAAATTGTTTATATAGCATTGAAGACATGCACATGATTTGATTAGTTGAATAATTTTTAGCAGACTTCATTTGAGGATCCAGAGCAGCTTTTCAAATAAGTTGGATTTAAAATCAGACTGAAACATATAAAAGTATTAAGATAGAAAAAGAGATCAAGCTAAAGATGGTCTTTTAAATGTTTATGTTCAAGTATAGAACATTATTAAAATACAGTATATAAGATTGAAATAAATGAACTTGATCCTGGTTGAGTTTGTATAACTTGTGACAAATAAGGAACAATTTGGGAGGGGTTCTCTCCCCCTCCCGTTATGTGGGAAAACTTTCCCATCCTGTTAGTCTCACCTTCCACATTAATATTTATTTTCTTCTTTTGGAGGAAAATATTACTTTTTGTTACTTTTTATTGACAACCACTTTTTTGTTATTCTTTTAATAAAATATAGAATTCCTATGGCTATAATAATAGCACATGCTGTTGAAAAATATACCTAGTTGGGTACAGCAACGAAGGTGGCTGGTTTATGTCTTTCTGTCAGTCCCTTCCCTGAGGTCTTGTAACACCATCATGCCTCCAGCTTTCCCTACTATGTGCAGTTAATTGTTCTCTATTTTCAGGTAATGGTTATTCTGTTGACAAAAATCCATCCTTTAAAAAATTATATAATTTACTGTAATGCTGAGGTTGATGGTTCTCATGGGTAGCTATGCTTCATTTGGATTTTTTTTTTTTTTTGCTTCTCCAGCAGCTCCCTATGACTTGTTTTAAGCCATTGCTAAAGAGCCGGTTTGTACAGTTGTCGAGTTGTCGAGATTCACTTACACATCTTAAGTATCTTGATCTTTTATCATGGTATTACAGATAGTAATAAAGCTATGGGATTTCTGAGTAATTTGACAGTTTGTAAAGCCAAATAAAATTAGTGGATGCCCTTATTCGCTTTATTTCAATTACTGAAATAACCTGAGGTTTCTCAACAAAAATGTTTCTCATTTATTAATTGAAAATGTCTTCCTCTAGGTCCTGTGCCAGGCTCATTGATGAATTCATCACATTTATCAGATGGACTGGGACATAACTCTTTGATCCCAAATATGTATACTCAGCAAATTGCAACAAAGAATCCTCTGCATGCCACCTCTGGACAATATAGCCATGGTACATCTTGGAATATACCTTCTGGTCAGACTCTTAATAGAACCCCAATGGGATCTTCTCTGACAGCATCACAGCCAAGTCCTGTTGCCCAAATGCCTTCTTTGTTGCAGAACTCAACTGCTGTATCAACTTCTGATGGTAGTTTTTATTCTGGAAATAATCTCTCAGCTAATTCAAACTGGCAATATGTGCAGAATCCTTTGACTCAACCTAATCTAGTATCTCAACCAAATCATTTTGCTCACACAGTAACTTCGCCATTGTTGCCATCAGGGAATACAAATTTGCCCACAAACTATCATTTTGTTCCTTCTGCTGGAGGTCCTCCAGTTCAAAACACCTATACAAGGCAAGGTAAGAAAAAAGAAGCAGTTTATATCATTATATCAGATTATATCATTATATCCGATATAGGGAAAAATCCTAGATATTTTTCATCCAAGGTATTCACGATAAGTTTACTAATATAAAACTGAAGATTGTATAAGTGACCTTGTACTAAAATAACGGGATTCCCTCAGCCTCCTCCTTCTCTACATCTTCTAAGATTCCACAAATCTGTGTCAGAGGGATTCCCCTTTCATGTCAGAGTTGGAAAACCAGTTTAGCCTCTTTCAAATGCTATGCTGGCTGATGGTACTGCAAGTTGTAATTCAATTACAGTATTTAGCAGCATCAACTAGCATAGCCAAAAGAGAAAGCATATTATATCTGGAGGGTTGCAGATTCCTCAGTCCTGTAGAGCAAACAAAATTTCAAACCCTAATTAGCAATACTGTTCTATTTAATTAGCAATAATACATTTTCTTGTTTAATGTAAGTCATTAGTTGCCTGCTGATTTGTTGTTTGGTGAATTTTCAGCTCTTTGATAGTTCTGGGGGCTAAGAAGTTTATCGTAGAACTGTGTGGCATTGTAGAATATAATATATAGATGTAGTTGTAATATGAACTTACAAATACGGTTAGTCCTCGACTTACGACCACAAGCCCGAAGTTTCTGTTGTTAAGTGAGGCATTTTAAAGTGAATTTTGCCCCGTTTTACAACCTTTCTTGCCACAGTTGTTACGTGAATCACTGCAGCTGATAAGTTACCAGATTGTTAAGTGAATCTGGTTTCCCCATTGACTTTGCTTGACAGAAGGTCACAAAAGGTGATCATATGACCTTGGGACCCAGCAACGGTCATAAGTATGAACTGGTTGCCAAGTGTCTGAATTTTGATCACATGATCACAGGGAAGCTGCAAAGGTCATAACTCTGAAAAATGGTCGTAAGTCATACTTTAAAGTGCCATTATAACTTTGAACAGTCCATAAATGAACTGTTGTAAGTCGAGGACTACCTGTATTGATTCTGCCTTGGCACAGATAAGTAGTGCTGAGGTGATGAGAAAAAGGGTAGATCTAGAGAACCTTCTATCCCTGCTGTAGAATGAATGTATTGGCCTGTATTGCTGAACTCAGTTCTTGTTGAATGTTCTGTACTTCTTGTCTCTGTCTATAAAATGGTATGATACACCTACACAGAACATATATTTGCATAGAACAACTGTATGTGAGTCACTATATTGTAGTATTTAAGGGAATTGGAATCCTAATAATCCATCTTTAGCTGTAAAAATACACTGTATGATTCTGTAGTAATATATTCAGTCTTTGTCAGTAACTTTTCATGGGATGATTGCAATCGGAAGGATATATGATTTTGCTTATGTATAACATTAAAATTAAATTACCGTATATGCCGGCGTATAAGACGACCCCCCAACATTTCCACTCAAAATATAGTTTGTTATATACTCGCCCCCTCTTCCGCACGCCTTCCACTTTTGCACTTTTTTTTTTTTTTGAGGCACTTTTGTCTACCGTGGAAACGAATCCCGTGAAGCCGAAAGGAGCAGCCAGCCTTCGCCCAGCTCCCAAGGAAACGAGGCTCGCACCGCCCGGGCTCCGCTGAGGTATCCGGCTGGGGCTGTCAGGAGTTGTTACCGCTGGCGCGGCTCCGCGCGGCTCCAGTCCCGCGTTGCCTCGGGAAGGGAAAGGCAAAACCAGGAGCCGC